GGCTATGTATATTTTCACCAAAAAAAAGTCCTCCAAGGTAGAGAAGGGAGAGTGTTGACATGTCGTGGGGTTGTTAACCAATGTCATAAAACAATATGGGTACTGACTGTTTAATGAGAAACTATTTGTTCTGTAAACCTTCATCTACAGTAGAATGAAAAAAAAAGTGCCAAAAAAAAAAAAAAAGATTACAGCCTTGGAAAACCTGTGGGGCAGTTCTACTGTCCTACAGGGTTGCTATGAGTCAGAGTCGACTTGATGGCAACTGGTTTGGTTTTGTTTTAATATTTATACAGCAACAAATACAGCAATAACTTTCATAAAGCAGAAGTTACAGATTATATACACCTCTCTTAATCCAAGACAAATCAAGTAGAAAGCAAGTATAGACTGACCTATACCAATCACCAAGAAAAATTCGTTACATTCCAAAGTTTAAAAATAGCATAATACAGCAAAACTGGCAATTACAAAATTGAGAAGACCATGCCTCTCCCAAGTCTTCTACGCTATCACTATGTTCTTCATTTACCTGAAGTCCTCAACTCTGTCAACAGGGATTGAGACTGGGCTCCCCTCACGCCACAGAGATCAAGACTTCACCACAGCACTGAGGCTAAGACACGGCACCACTGTATTGGTTTTTAATGTTGCTGTAAGACATTTTCACAGACTTTGTGGCTTAAAACAAACAAATTTGTTATCTTACAGTTATGTAGGTTAGAAGTCCAACATGGGTCTCACTGAGCTAAAAGCAAGATGCTGGCAGGGCTGTGTTCCTTTCTGGAGGCTCTAGGGGAGAATCAGTTTCCTTCCTTTTCCAGCCTCTAGAGGCCACCCATATTCTTTGGCTCATGACCGCCGTCCTCCATCTTTAAAGCTAGTAATGTTGCATCTCTCTAACCCTTCTTCTATGGTCACATCTCCCTCTGAATCCAATCTCAGGCCGGAAGGGTTCACCAATTTTAAGGACCCATGTGATTAGACTGGACCCAGCTAGATAATCTAGGAAATCTCCCCATGTCAAGGCCCTTAACTTAATCACATCTCCAAAGTCCCTTCTGTCACGTAAGGTAACGCAGTCACAGGTTCTGGCAACAGGACACGGGCATATTTAGGGGGGACCATTATTCTGCCTACCAGAACCACCCCTAGGGCTCCTATCCTCAGCCTCCCTTCTGAGGGATACTCAGAGATCTCTCTCTCATGACACCAACACTGTCTTGAATCTAACCAGAATAAACATCAATATGCCCTGCAACCATGTCTATGTCTATCGTAAGAAGCCCCAGACTCCCCAGTCACCCCTCATTTCAGACACTCTACTCCTGTACTCCCTGTATGTACTTCTGTACTCCCCATGGGTTCCCATCTGTTCCCTTTTCCATCCTTTCCCAAACTGTTGAAGCTTTTCAGAACACCCTCCGGAATTTACAATTCATTAACAACAAAATTCTCTTCTTCAACCACTTCCATGAACAATACTTCACCTTCTGGTGTAACAAAAACTTTGCTCTCCCCACGTGACTTTTTTTTCTCCTACAGCTTTATACCACTGGGTTTGGAGATGGGACAGGTGTCTTCCTTGTTCTTTATTGCTTTCAGATCTTTCTCCCTCCCTCTCATATCCATTAAAACCCTAGTTTTCAATCTCATGCCATCAGATTATAGAACTCACCAACCCTCACTGTTGCTGACATCTACCAAACACAGGTCATTTCCCCCTTGTTTTTTGAAATCTTGAGCTCATAGCTCACTGAAATGCTACTGCACTTCATTTATTTTTGCAATTTCAGTACACCCAAGCAGATGAACCCTGCTTACTGACCCTTGCCTGGACTTTTCCCCTTCTCATGGCTCAATCTCGCCAGCATACTGATAGGTTAATTCTCCCCTCACCAGCTGCTGGTCCATTTCTCCGCTCATTTATGGAGAAACTCCCAGAATATGTTGTCTACACTGCCTCCAATTCCTCTGCCTTCATTCTGTTACACCCACTCCAGTCCAGCTACTGGCCCACCACAGAAACTGTCTTCCACATATTCATGAATGACTATGCCTGTTGCTAAATATAACGTTAAATTCTTTGTCTCTGGCCTTGCAATGCTGCTACCACCGCATTTACACCAAGGGTCACACGCATAATAATACAGTCACAGTCTGTACATACGCCAACAAAACCAACACCAAACCAGCTGCTGTCAGTTACCAGTCCTGGTGACTCCCCAGTGTGTCAGAGTAAAACTGTTCTCCACAGGGTTTTCAACGGCTGATCTTTTAAAAGTAGATCACCAGGGCTGTCTTCTGAGGGGCCTCTGGGTGAACTCAAATCGCCAACGTTTTGGTTAGCAGACGAGTGCACAACTGTTTGCGCCTCCCACGGACTCCCACATACATACAGAAACCAAACCTAACCCGCCGCCGTGAAATCTATTCCGACTCCCGGAGACCCTATAGTTCAAAGCAGAACTGCCCCAAAGGGTTTCCAAGGCTGTCATCTTTACAGAAGCTGCCTGCCCGATCTTTCTCCGCTAAGCGGCTGGTGGTTCAAACGGCCCTTTCAGTTAGCAGCCAAGCGCTATAACCACTGGACCACCAGAGCTCCCTCATACATACCCCAAACCAAAACCCACTGCCATGGAGTGGATTTCTACTCATAGCGACCCCATAGGGTTTCCAAAGCTATAAAGCTCTACGGAAGCTGACTGCCACGTCTTTCGCCCCCAGAGCCGCTTGTGGTTTCGAACCGCCCGCCTTTCGGTCATACAAACACAATCACACTTAAAATGCCCATTACAGTCACACGGAGCTCCCTTCGCGATCGCGTACACACAAACGTAAACACACACAGCTCCTGTGTTAATCTCACACACATACCTACGGATGCCGTCGCGATCACGTAGCCCTTACACAACACACACACACACACACACACACACACACACACACACACACCCCCTCTCCCAGCCTCCGACTCTGACCACGTTTGCCCCGCATCTCCCTCACCTCCAGGGTCGTTGGGCTTCCGGGCCCCAGAAGCACTCGTCCGACGCTGCGGACACCGCGGTCTAAGAACGCAGAGCGTTCGCAGGAACCGCGCGCAGTCCCGCCTGCCGCCCCGAGGGGCCCGTGTGAGGACAGAACGTTACCAGGGATGCGACGGACTCTGGGAAGTGTAGTCCCGAGCCGGAACAGCCTCTAACAGCCAGAAGCCCGCCGGTCTCTAATCACAGGCCCGGCCTTGGGTCCCATCCCCTTCTCCGGCAAAGGCCATCGCCCCCACGCCACTCACATCTGTAGCTGGGAGCTTGCAAGCGCTCCAGGCTGTGTTCAGTACGCTAGCCTCGACTGGGGCCTCCGGGGACACCTGCACAGTCAGTCAACGCAGCCTTGAGGCTGGAAGTAGCCGTGGGCGCGACGGCCTCTGGGAAACGTAGTCCAGAGACCGAAAGCCACATAAATTCTTCAGCCTGCAGGTTTCCTTCTTTTCAGCGGGAGCTCGCTGGTGGTTGTGGTGAGGCAGAAAGGCTCCTTAAGGTGGTGCCTAGAGAGTACACAAGGCCTTACTGTTTACGCCCCTTATGCCACAAACTCCGCCCTGGGGTAGGCTGAAGAGGAGAGTCCGAGGGGGGAACCTCGGTGCCCTCCCCAGCGGGGTTCCCTGAGTAGGAAGCCGTTCATGGAGCTCCTCCTGCAAGCGGGTGCAGTGTCCTTCACATAAGCAAATAGAAATACTGTACTCTCCTCTTCCCGTTACCCTTACAGTGTTTAGTTTAAATCAGTATTCACGTTTGCACTAGTGTTACCTTGTAAATGTTATTCATGTCTAGACCTTTTTTTTTTTTTTTTTTGCTGAAGTTAGTCATTGCCAGCTTTTTTAAATTTCACTTGCTTCCTTTTCTATTTGTTCATCATTGATTTATATCTAAACTTTCTCACGGGAGTAATTTTTTTTTTTTTTTCAGTATTTTCAAATCATCAGGTAATCTTTTAAAAGGGTTTTTCTTGAAATTTTTTTACTGTGAAATAGAAGATGCCTGAAGTGCATAAAATGTATACATTCAGTGTAACTCCACACAATGAAGAAATAGTACATTCGAGAGGAAATGAGATGCCCACTCCATGTGACCATTTCTGATCCCTACCTCCAACCCAGCCCCCTAGCTGACCACTATCCTGACCTTTAGGATAATATTTTGGCTTGTCATCTGTTACCTACTTTTTTTAAATTACATAAATGCAATCTAATTGTATGAATCGTCTGTGTCTTACTTATTTGCTAAATTTCTAACTGGATTAACTCAAATACCTATACTAAAGGCCTTGCAGAAAGGTGTGCCCATCCAGGCACAAAAATTACTTCTCTCAGTTACTACTGTGATGGGGGTCCCCAAGTCCCCACCCCCCAGGTTCAATGATCCGCTGGGAGGACTCACAGAACTCACCATATAGTCATGTTCAAGGCTGTGATTTATTACAGTGAAAGGATACAAAAAACCAAACCCACAAATTCCAACTCATAGCGACCCCATAGGACTTCCAAGACTGTAAATCTCTACGGAGGCAGACTGCCACATCTTTCTCCCACAGAGCCACTGGTGGTTTTGAAACGCCAGCCTTTCTGTTAGCAGTGGATCTCTTTAACCACTGCGCCACCAGTGCTTCTGAAAGAATACAAAGCAAAGGTAAAAGGCACATGGGAGAAACGGGGTTGAGGGGAGAAACAGGCCAAAACTTATAAGGATCCTCTCCCAGTAGATTCACACAGGACAAGCTTAATTCCCCCAGCAACAAGTTTTTTCAACACATGTGAAATGTCGTCAGCCAGGGAAGTTCACTGGAGACTCAGTGTCCAGGGTTTTTACTGGGAGCTAGTCATGTCAGCTGCCTCTACCTGACATGTACCAGAATTCCTGACATGTACAAGATGGAAAGTAGGTGTTTTAGCATAGACCATATTGTTTGCACAAACAGTTTAGGAACAGTGTGTCATTCACATCAATTAGGACGGTGGGAACCCTCCTGAAATCCAGCTTCCAGAAGACAGCCAAGGGCCAACCTTGCAAGCAGGCCTTTCTAAGGATAAGCAGACGCTGGCCTGCTATGTTAATTCTTTTTTGCACACTACTGTCTTAAACAAGATGTGTATCTTTGAACAACAAAAAATATGAGGCATGAAAAGCCCAAAAATAAAAATAAATCAAGATAGTCCCAAGACAAAGCAGTCGTCAGAGTTGGACTCAGCATATCTCAACAGGGAACTTAAAATAACTATGATTAATATGATAAAGGGTCTAAGGCTGTGGTTCTCAACCAGGGGCTACTTTTTCCCCAAAAGACATTTGACAATGTCTGCAAATTTTTTGGTTGTCACAACAGGGTGACATTGCACAGAAGAGCCCTCCACAACAAAGAATTATCCAGTCTAAACTGTCAAAATAGTGCCTAGATTGAGAAATCATACGTAAGCCAGACAGTGTGCTATTGGTAAAGGTAAATCAATGCAACAGAATTGAGTCCAGAAATAGACCCTACAAATGTTGCCATTTGATTTTTGATGGAGGTGCAAAAGCAATTCAATGAAGAAAGGATATTTTTAACAAATGATATTGGAATTAACTGGTCATGCATATACAAAAAAGGACCTCAATCTAAGCCTCACAATGTATATAAAAATTAACTCAAAGTTAATTGTAAATTGTAGATCTAAATGTAAAACATAGAACTATAAATTTTTTTTGAAAAAAAATAGGAGAAAATGTTCATGACCTGTGGTTAGATAAAGAGTAATTAGACATGATACCAAAAGCATGATCCATAATGGAATAAATTGGTATATTGGGCTTCATAAAAATTAAAACTTCTCTTCAAAAATACTGTTAAAAGACAAGGGACACAATGGGAGAAAATACTGGCAAATCATATATCAGAAAAAGGACTTGCATCCAAAATATACAGAGAACTTCCAAAACTCAACAATAAGAAAATCTCAATTAAAAAATAAGGAGGTGGGGCCAAGATGGCAGAGTAGTCAGATGCTTCTTGTGGTCCCTCTTATAACAAAGACCCCCCCGAAAAAAGTGAATAGATTATATACGACAATCCAGAGCCCTGAACATCAAAGGCAAAACTGAGGAATCTGACTGAGTGGCAGGGGGAGGGAGAGACGGTTCAGAAGCAGCGAGGAGCCGCCAGACCTGACCCGGAACCGGCACCCTGCGGGCTGGATTGGCTGGGTGCGTGGTGATGCAGGCAGTAGCGTTTGGGATGCGTTTTCCACTCTGGGAGAGACTGAGCGGTGGCGAGTCTACTCAAGCCTCCAGAACCAGTGAAAAGCGGTGCTCAATTGGCAAAAGATAAGTACATAAGTCTAAGCTACTGCACAGATGAAAAAACACCCCATTTGGGAAGAACTTCTCTCTCATTTACCTGCTCCCTCCCCGCTCTGCACCGGGTCCTGGTCCAGCTTCAGTGATTGCTGCGTCCCCTGGGTCGGAAGAAGGACCCGTCATACACCATGAGCCATTCTCCTGGCCTTGGAGAGGGAACAAATTAACAAACAGGAAAATATAATCTGCCAGCTCCCCTAAGCCGGGACTCAGGGCAGGCACATCTCCCAAGGCACACTCATGAGGGGTCCATGGACTTTGCCTTTCACCCCTGCATAGACCTTTGTGGGCCCATTTCAACAGCATAGGCCCTCATTAGCACAGTACAACAGGGTATATACCTGAAGCATGACTTCAACTGTATCAGCTATATGTATGAGTGGCAGGTTTGTGGTATTTGACACCACTGTGCCCACTAAGTAGGGTCCTCACCCACCCACATCAGGGGCCTGAGGACTGGTGGCTCCACCCATGCCACCTAGCCACCCGCAGCAGGGGTCCAAGAATAAGTGGTGCCTCCCAGTCCTTACAGCCAACAGCATTGGGTGCCCATAGTCTGGCTGCAAAACCCACCCATCTACACGCTCTAGGGAACAGGGACATGCTTTCCTGCCACTCAGGGGCAGCCCCCTGCCTTGCTCGGCACATGGTTCCCTACTGCAGCCAGATACCTGTGCCTACTCCAATCACTCCTGCCTGTCTAGGGCTGTAGGTGAGAGCCTGCACCACACACTTGGTAAATGACTACCTGGACACCTAAGCTGAATCCTTACAAGAAAAGTAAACAGACTCCTGGGCTCACATACCTAGTAACAGATCTAACCACCTGGTGACAGTATGTTAGAGTTTCAAAGGCACTAATAATCAAACTAGCTCACATGAGCAGCCTATTTGGGCATATCAAAAGAAAACAAAACCAGAAGCTAGGACACAGTAAGCAAACATAAAACAAATAAATATAGTAACTTATTGATGGCTCGGAGACAACAGTCAATATCAAATCACATAAACAGGCAGACCATGATGGCTTCAGCAAGCTCTCAAAACAAAGATTCAAGAAATCTTCTGGAGGGAGAGAACTTCTTGGAATTACTGGGGTAGAATACAAAAGATTAATACACAGAACTGTTCAAGATATTAGGAAGGAGATCATGCAAAACACAGAACAAGCCAAGGAACACACAGACAAAGCAATAGAGGAACTTAAGAAGATTCTAGAAGAGCACAGTGACAAATTTAACAGGCTGCAAGAATCCATAGAGAGACAGCAAACAGAAATCCAATTAAAAAGTGGGCAAAGGACTTGAACAGATATAAAGTCAAAAGATGGACACCAGGAAAAAAAATATTTGTAAGGCAGATAAGCATATGAGGTAAAGCACTAATTTTTCTCATATATAAAGAGCCTACACACATCAATGAAAAATGATAATTTAAGATTTGTAGAACTCAGAAAATTTTACTAGCAAAACAGGCAAAATAAACAGATACATTCATAGAAATAACAGTTTTTAAACATTTAAAAAGATGCTCAACTTGACTCCTAATGAAATAAAGTCAATAATATAGTCAAAACCTGTTCAGCATCATAGCAACACGCAAACCACCGGACAGATGGGTGGTGGCTGCGCATGAGGTACATTAGCCGGGAATCAAACCTGGGTCCCCCACATGGAAGCTGAGAATTCTACCACTTATCCACCAATGTCTCATAGGCTATGGTACATGCATGTAATTAAATCAGTTGGCCTTGAGTAGAGTAAATTACCTTCCATAATGTAATCTAATGTCATGTAATTACAGCTAATGTAATGTGATCACTGTCCATACTGCAATCTAATGTAATTGATTGATTGATTGTAATCAATCAATCGAGGTCATACCAGTGTTGGGTGAATGCTAAACCTAATCACTTCTGAGTTATAAACAGACCAGAATATACACAGAGACACACATATGGGAAAACAGACAGACACCATCTGAGAATCATCTACAAGCCAAGGAATGAAGAAGTCCCTGGGTGATGCAAACATATTCATCTGCTAAAGAAAAGGTTGGAGGTTCAAGTCCACTTGCAGGTACCTCTGAAGAAAGGTCTGATGATCTATTTCCAAAAAATCAGCCATTGAAAACCCTATGGAGCACAGTTTTACTCTGACACACTTGGGGTCACCAGTAGTTGGACAAGGAAGAAATCAACAAGGCCAAGACTCTAATTTGGACATTTAGCCTCCAGAACTGTGAGAAAATAAATTTGTTCTTTAAACCCACCCAAGTGTGCTATTTGTGTGACAGCAGCACTAGGTAACTAAGACAGGGTATGATTGAGAAGCTTGCAGTAAAGCAACATTCCTGCAGAGGACTAGAAAAGCCAGACTAAAACAATAAAATCATTTTGACTTTGGTTATGACTTTGTTTGTCTTGCAGAAAGGCACTGGAAAGCTTTTAAAACAACCAGAACTAGCGTGTCAAGTCTGTAGATTGGAGGACCTACAGACATTATAGGGAGCCCTGGTAGTGCAGTGGTTAAAGTGCTCGCCTGCTAACAGAAAGGTCAGCGGTTCGAACCCACCAGCTGCTTCACAGGAGAAAGACGTGGCAGTCTGCTTCCGTAAAAATTTACAGCCTTGGAAACCTATGAAACAGTTTTATACTCTGTCCTACAGGGTCGTTATGAATCAGAATCAACTCGATGGCAGTCGGTTTGGTTTGGACAGACATTATGCAGTTACTTTTTTTTCTGGGTTGTTTGCCAATTCTTGGCAAAAGGCAAAAGGATAAGAATCCATATTGTTGGGAATTTAGGCAGTTTTGTGGGCCTGAAAAGACAAAGTTGGAGACTTGATGGGCCAAGATCCTTGTGAGAAATGAGGGACAGAGACCTGAACCTGACATATGCTCAGTTTTCTCCTCCAGACATTTGCCCATTTCTGAAACTGAGCAGGGCAGGATGCTAAGAGGCTTAAGCAAAAATCTTCCAAAAAGCAGAGCAGAGTTTGTCAGTCTTCCTGGGCTAAGGAGACAAAGATTTGAATTCAGACCCTGACGGGGCATGGGTCCTGGTGTGTACACAAAATTCTCCTATTGAAATCCTGAAGGACTATGCCCTAGGAGCAGAAGCCAACGAAGGGAGAAAGACCCTCACTAAAAGCCTTGACTCTACTCAGTCACTGACTGAATTAAGGTGATCAGCCCCTACTTTATCTCCTCAGCAGAGAAAAAGGTAAATCCTCCGTAGCAGGAGATAGCATCTGCAGCCTCTACTATATTTTATACACAATGTCTGTGATTTAACAAAAAATTATTAAGCATACCAAGAGGCATGACCATATGACAGAAAACCAAAGAAAAAAACAAACAATAGAACCAGACCAGGGTTGTACCGATAACTAGACACCCAAAACACTAAACCTACTGCCACTGAGTCAGTTCCAACTCTTAGGGACCATGTAGGATGAGCAGAACTGCCCCACAGGGTTTCTGAGGCTGTAAATCTTTACAGAAGCAGACTGTCACATCTTTCTCCCACAGAGTGGCTGGTGGGTTCAAACCGCCAACGTTTCAGTTAGCAGCCAAGCACTTAACCACTATGCCACCAGGGCTTCTTGATAAGTAGACAATGACTTTTAAAAAAAGGTGGAAAGATGGAGAATTACAACAAATAATTGGAATCTATAAAACAAAATCAAATGAAAATTCTATAACTGAAAATATGGATAACTGACATTAAGGACTTAATGGGTTTAACAGTAGAAAAGATACAGCAGAACAAAGGATCAGTGAATTGGAAGAAGGACCAATAGAAAATATACAAATTGAAGCACAAAGCAAAAAGAAATAGATATTACAGAAAAGAGGATAAAATACTCATGGGATATAGTGGAAAAGTCTACTGTAGGTATGATTGGAGAACCAAAAAAAAAGGAGAGAAAGCATGAGGTCAGAAGCAATATTTGAAGAGAAAATAGCGCATAATTTCTCAAAATTGATTAAAGACATCAACCATAGATTCAAGAATTTCATGATACTCAGAGAAAAATACATAACCTAGCATTCAATAGTCAGCTATAAGTTTCAAAAAGGACAGGCAAAAAACTTTCAAAAAGACATTTCAGACAAACTATGAGAAACCATTGCCAGCAAAACTGCACTTGAAAAAAAAAAAAATGAACACAGTGTTTCAGAGGAAAAGGGTCCCAGAAGAAACAAAAAGAAATTCAAGAGGGAAGGAAAAGCAACAGTAAGAGTAAATATATGAATACATATAAATGAATATTAACAGTATAAAATAATAATAATACCTTCTAGGGTTTGAAATGTGTGGAATTAAAATATATTACAACAATAAAACAAAATGAGGATAAGGGTAAATGGAGTTAAAACATGCTGAGTAAATGACAAAAGTAATCATTTCACTTAGATTAAATCAAGGAAGAATATTGTAATAGCTAGGGTAACCACTGAAAGATTTTTTAAGAACTTATAACAAATTAGAAGAGAAAAAACGGATCCAACTTTGTGGTTGTTACTAGGTGCTGTCGAGTTGGTTCTAACTCATAGCGACCGTATGTACAACAAAAGGAAACACTACCCCGTCCTGCACCATCCTCACAATAGTTGCTCTGCTTGAGCCCATTGTTGCAGTCACTGTGTCAATCCATCTTGATGAGGGTCTTCTTCTTTTTCGCTGACCCTCTACTTATCAAGCGTGATGTCCTTCTCAAGGGATTGGCCTCTCCTGATAATACGTCCGAAGTATGTGAGACGAATTCTAGTCATTCTTGCTTCTGATGAGCATACTGGCTGTACTTCTTCCAGGACAGATTTGTTCATTCCTCTGACAGTCCAAGTCTTGGCCAACTCGGTAATTCAAAGACATCAATTCTTCTTCCATGTTCTTTATTCATTGTCCAGCATTCACATGCATATGGGGCAATTAAAAACACCATGGCTTGGATCAGGCACACCTTAGTCCTCAAAGTGGTTATCTTTGCTTTTCAACACCTTAAAGAAGTCTTTTGCAGCAGATTTGCCCAATGCAATGCGTCATTTGATGTCTTGACTGCTGCTTCCATGAGTGTTGATTGTGGATTCAAGTGAAATGAAATCCTTAACAACTTCAATCTTTTCTCCATTTATCATAATGTTGCTTATTGATTCAGTTGTGAGGATTGTTATTTTCTTTATGATGAGGTGTAATCCATACTGAAGGCTGTGGTCTTTGATCTTCATCAGTAAGTGCTTCAAGTTTTCTTAACTTTCAGTAAGCAAGATTGTGTCATCTGCATATCTCAGGTTGTTAATGAGTCTTCCTCCAATCCTGATGCTGTGTTCTTCATATAGTGCAGCTTCTCAGATTATTTGCTTGGCATAAAAACTGAATAAGCGTGGTGAAAATATACAACCAACACACACCTTTCTTGACTGTAAACCATGCAGTATACCCTTGTTCTATTTGAACGACTGCCTCTTGGTCTATGTACAGATTCCTCATGAGCACCATTAAGCGTTCTGGAATTCCCATTCTTGACAATATTATCCATAATTTGTTATGATCCACACAGTCAAATGCCTTTGCACAGTCAATAAAACGCAGGGAAACATCTTTCTGGTATTCTCTGTTTTCAGCCATGATCCATGTGACATCAGCAATGATATCTGTTATTCCACGTCCTCTTCTGAATCCCACTTGAAGTTCTGGCAGTTACCTTTTGATGTACTGCTGCAACTGCTTTTGAATGATCTTCAGCAAAATTTTACTTGTGTGTAATTGTCTTAGTTATCTAGTGCTGCTATAACAGAAATACCACAAGTGGATGGTTTTAACAAAGAGA